TATTAGAATGTACATAAAAGTATAACAAATTTAATATAGGTATAAAACAATCAAACAAAATTGTTTTCAAAATATCCTTAGGCTAAAAACAACAACAACAAAAAATGGAGGAAAAGGAAAGAAAAAAACAAAGTAACATACATGCACGCCTAAGTACGAGAAAAACGTGACAACTTTGAACTAAAGTTTGTTATCATGATACTTGTATAAAAGTGATTTTCATGCTATTAGCTAGTATCATATTATAAAATTTATACATTTATGTATAACATTTTATATTAAATACATTGTACATATTTAGATTTTGCCAAGTATGGAGATGCATGTCTACTTTTATAACCTAACAAAATATTACTTAACACAAATACATTCAAAATTATTATACATTCATATATAGATTTAGATATTTTTTTTTTATTCAAGCCATGCAATTTTAAAAGTTTTCTTTTTTTCTATATGTATGTATACTTTGTGTTGTGCTTGTTGTGTATTTTATACTATCATTGCATACATGAATGCAAGAAAACAGAAAAACATTGTTAACCTTCTTAAGTGCTTTACAATATACTTTTATTTTTTTCTTGTATTTATTAAAGAGTTATTATTTTGTACTACCGTATAAAAGTTTAATACAACTATGATACAAAAAAGAAAAAAAATTATGTGTCAGCAATAATATTCAAATATGGTTACACACCAATAATATCAATAGTGAGTGCACATTATAACAATAATATGAGTATTGGCTTTCAAGAAAAAATTAAAAGGCTACTCCTATAATACTCGTAACAACAATACGAAATAAAAATTTTGCAAGTAGAACAAAACAGCAAACGAAAAACAAAACAAAAAAAAGCAGTAACAGTAAAGAGGGAAAGATGAATTTGAGAATGTGGTGGGTATGATAAAATTGATGTTAAGACATGATAGAAGGGCATGAAAAGACATTTATAAGAAACATGTAGGTAAATGCGATAGATTTTATAATATAGTAAATTTGTATACACTATTACTATATTTATCAGATGATAATAAAGTATTATGACAGTCAGCATGTAGTAAGAAACAGAAATGAAAAAGAAACAACAAAAACAAAAAATATTAAAAAGCATAAATGGAACACTTTATGTTGCATGACATTTTGTTGCTAATGAAAGTGAATTTTTTCACCTAATTCGAGTTGAGGTTAAAATTTAGGTTTGTAAAAATGTTAAGTGTTACTTTTTTGTTTTTCTCCACTTACCTTTATTTTATTATTATATTATGAATTATCATTATCGCGTTGAATAGTTATTTTTGTTTGTTAATTTTTCTTTTATACTTTAAATACTTAGTGTGTTGTTTTTTTATGTTTCGTGTTTGTTTATTACTGAAATTAAAAGTGTAAATTGATTTTAAATTATTTTCCAATTATTAATTATTATTTGCACACTTATTAATTGTATACAATATAACTACTCACATTTACATTTGTATTTAGAAATGAATAAATATTTTATTTTTTTACAATATAGATGCATAATTATAATTAAATTTTTATGAGGTGGAAAAATTAATTTATAAATTAACAGTTATAGTTTAATAATAATGAAAAAAGAAAAATAAATTACAGGTACTTATTATTTATCTAAATTGTATTGAAGGCATGAGATAGTGTCACAAATTTATATAAAATATTATGAATTAATTTATAAAAAATGTTATTAATTTATTTTGATTACATAATTTTTCTTTATTTTCTTACTAAAATTTATTTTACAGCCTGTAATAATTGAAAGAGCGAAATGAATAAAAATTCTAATAAAATAAAATTATTTACATTTATTATAGTTTTTCATAAAAATCTTTCTCTCTTTATTAATTTTCGAATTATGCAGTTTAAAAGTTATAAAAATAAAAATTTGATAAAAGTGGTTTAATAAATTTTATTAAACCACTTTTTACTCGAACATAAACAATATCAAACATATTATTACGTAGATGGCATTAATAATATCCAATACATTGATAATTTCTATTGTCACAAAATAAACAATGACAAAATACCCAATATTTCCCAAAATTTTAACATGTATGGGCAAAAGTGAAAATAACTGTACGAGAATTTCTCAAATTTTCTCTAAGGGTTCAGAGAGACATGTAATTTTCAGTTTTGCTCATCTACTCAACTAAATTATTGTGCCAGTTTAAATCGAATACGTTAAATAAAAATTGCAATCAGTTTGTAAAAAATTAAAAACTGTTTGACTGCTTAATTGCATGCGATCACACCTCTGGAATGCAAATAAGCAATCAAGCAATTGCAAACTAAAAATTGCATGTCTGGCTGAGCCCTAATAAATTGAAAACTAATAAACATGCGTTTGTGTTAAATTTAATTAATTTTGAGGGAATGAAAGAGAATAAATCATACTACGAGAGTTTCAATCTTAGAACTTACATATTTGTTATAGTTTATTTATTCATTTTGTCTTAGTTCATTTTACATTATATTTCAGCAAATTAATTATTCTAACTGAAATACAATTATGTATACTTTTATATTGCATTCAATATTTTTACTTTTTGCACAAAAATTTAATTTCTCTTTAAGTGTTGGAGTAACTATTAATACAAGAATACATTATTTAATTGCATTCATTTTATATTGTAATACATGTAATATCAATCAATTTACACATTTTGTGTTATTTTCGTATAATCAATCAAAATTCTTTATTATAATTAACGTTTTTGATTATATTTTTCATACATTGCATTTTTCATATTTTCATTATTCTAAAATTCTTTTTCAATTCTTTTACAAAAAACTTATCCATTAATAATAGAATGAATTGATTAACTCAATAATTTGGTTCCAATTGGTGAAGTCGCCGTCAATATTGAAATAAATAACAGCTTACAACAATGTAATAACAACCTGTTAAAATTTATTATTCGAGTATGGTACAAATATACAGAATTTTTTTAAAAATATCACTAAAAAAATTATTTTATATAAAAAGTTTTTAAAATCAAAAGTTTATTATTAATTTTTGTTCAATGAAAGGCAAAAACAAAGTTGAGTGCATTGTCAAGGTAAGGAATAATATCTGTGCTTATTCGTACATACCTACATGATGTATACATACATTATGTATACAAAGTATATGATTGCTTTATAATTGTTGTGCATTGAATTTAGTTTTCTTCTTACACACATTTATGATTTCTAATAATTATGTGATTTAGAACTTTTATAAATTAATTATAACAAAGCCTTTTCTATATATAACTTTATAATAATATTCGTCATTCGACATTTTATTTAATAATTCAAGGAGAAAAGATCTAACAAAAGAATTTTATATTGGTATGATTGGTACATAAGCAACAAGTGCCAACATATTAATTCTTAAGTTAAGACTTAAAATAAAAGTTGATTGCCTTGAAGTAAAAGTTAATTGTTGTTTTAAATTATAATTATAGCTAAATCTAGTTTAATAAATAGAATTACATGCGAACTTTAGAATAAAAATTATAATTTTTAAAATAAAAATTAATAATTTTATAAGTTACTCGTATGTTTCCCTATAATTAAGGGTTTTTTTTCTATTTTATTCTATTCGGGTTTAAACGAGAGAGAAGGAGAGAAAGAGAGAGTATACTTTAAAGTTTAAGTAAGAGATTGGATAAAGGGTAGGTACATTACAGAAAAATACAATATATTGCATCAGTGTGGCAGTCTGCCTATTGTAGCATACGTCCCCCTAAAAAATGTATGCCTAGAAAATTGTCGAGAGAAATTAAGAAATGTTATTTTCATATATGTTAACCCAGTATCTGTCGTATATTCTACATAAAATATTACCACATTTTAAATGATAATAATGTATAAAAGTAGCAGTTCACATTTTTTATAAAGATTTTTAAATCACATACATAAATTTTCTGTACAATATGCACAAATTATAAATTTACATATAAGTATTATATTATAATGTACTAATAAAATACAATAACAATTACAATAGAGAACATATCATAGCAACCTTATGGTTATCTTGCAAATTTCACACCTGGTATATTTTATTTATACATATTATGTATACGATGCTCTTAATACAATATGAAACTACATTTGTTATAATAACATGCAAGAATATCGCAATTATATTGAAATATATAACTAACATCGTGTGATATGCTATATTTAATTATAACTATGTTATAATTTTTGTGTTTCATTGAAACAGATTTGTTACTATTTTTATTTTTGTTTAAATTTTTTATTTCGGTGGCATTTTCCATTGAGACCATGGGAAAATGTTGCAAATGTTGAATTCTTTAAAATAGTATAATGTTATTGTCTCAGAAAAAAAAAAACAAAATGTTGTTGCAAGATGTCAAATTTTTTTTTGGTGTATTTTTTATTTGTGATTTTGTTTATTTTATTCTTCTTGCACACTGTATAGGTACTTAAAATTGAAATATTAATTTGTATTTGGACCAATGTACATTCTTATTTAATTTTATACGAAGCGAAAAAGTTGGTACTAAATAGTGTTATAGTTAGCAACTTGATTTAGATGAAAAAATTATAAATAATTTAGTAAAGTATGCTTTAAGAATTGATGTGTTATTTTAGAGCATAATACAATAAAAAATATTTTGTGAAATATTTAAAATATGTGCTTTATAAATTAGTATAAGTAAAACAAAAAAAAAATAAAAATTCTTTAGAAATAAGACAATATAAAAATTTTTAATTCATTCATTTATAAAATGAACGTTGAATGTTAAAATAATAGTTATTGAAAAATTGTGTATATCAAAGTGTTCTGAATAAATGGAAAAATTTTAAGTGATGAAAAATGCCAAAGTAAAACCTGTTTTACTTTTGCGCAAATTAGTCACTTTAGATCAAATACAAATTTTCGATATTATACTCTATTGAGACTTTAAATAAAATTTAATTCTATACTTACATAATCAAATTGTAGAACACAGGTATTTGCAATAGCTGATTACTACACTTAAGTATGTTGAAAATAAGAAAATTATTGGTTTATTTAAACTATGTCAAAGAATAATTGCTTTCAATACCGGACATTTCAAAAGAATATTATTAAAAATTTGAAGAATTCAAAATAATTATTATGCAGAATTGTTTAATTAGAATATATATATAGAATTTAATGTAATTGATTGCATATGTTCCAATTAAATGTTATAAGTATTACAATATCAATGTGCCACTAAGATCTTTATTTAGTATATTTAATGCAAATATATGTATATAGATTATATTGTATACAGATATTTTGCAATGATAAGTAAAATTATAGATTATTGAAATATTGGTGGAGTGCGGTTAATTGTTTTAAAACTTTTGATATTTGTGATATATTCAAAGCAGAACCTTTGCCTTTTACACAGTAAAAATATTTTGGTAAAACATGTAAGTCCAACATAATATGATTTATGAGTTATATAACGTCTTCGACTTAATTACGAGCTTGTTACCATGTTTCGAATGAAATTAGAAGAAAATATATTTATTATATTTACTATTTCCAACCGTTTGTCTGTCCCTACGTCTGTTACATTCTTTTCCGGAATCGTGATTAAAGCGAAAAAACACTGAGAGGAGAACCGTTTCAACTATGTGATTTCCATATGAATGCTTTTCAACAGTTGTGTGACAGATGACGAAAGGAGTCGACTAACATTTTTCTTTAGAATTAGTATGGGACACGACAATTTTATTTTTGAATTAGTAAGGCAGTTGTTGTACGAACTTACTTATCTCGGACCATTATTTCTTACCATAACAAATGAAACAGAAAATTTACAATACCTTTTAAACATTCGTTCGTGCCGGTAAAAGTATAGGGATATTCATCTTTTACCATAAATTGATACAATATGTACAATATGATTGATAATTACAGATACAGGTGGGGAGTTGCATAATTTAAAATTTTAATATTTATAGTTGGATCTGGTAAGTAATTTATTTCATCAGAACAAAATTTTTTTTCTGTCTTACATTTTCATGTTATCACCTTTCAAAATTATGAAAATTATCGGCATTTTAATTTATTGAAACTCTTTGCTTTTCAAATTTGCACAAAAGCAAGGAATTTTATGGGAGGAGGAAAAAGAAGGAAATTTTTTCGCATCAAGACTTTATTTATTTATCACTACCGATTTCACCATTATATTAACGTTTTTCTTGATTATTGTTCTAATCCTAAAAGAATGCAATAATTATTTAACAGTATATAATTTTCGTTTATTATACAAGAGAAATGTGCTAGTCTCTGGTCGTTGATTTGACTGACTGTATTTTTAGTTTTATTGTTTGTTTGTTTTTTATACTGAATAGTAAGCTGATTTAAATCTATTCTCATTGGATAGCCTTATTAAGAACTCACGAATGTTTGCAAAATTTTCTTTATAATTCTGAAAATTTGCATGCGTGACGTGATTCATATCTTAATGTCACATGTTATATACTAGTTACAATCGATATTCAACAATAATTATAAACCTATGGTGAATTATATCAATTAATCATTTAAAACCGGATTTTCAAAGAACGGTGCTTACGAAACAAACTAAAATTCTAACGATAAATTTTTGCTCTTGTTTTTTCTTGCAAACACAAAATGTATTCAATCCGGATAAAAATTATAAAAAAATTACTACAAGTATATATGTGCATGTATATATATAAATATACTTGCATATCTATGTAGAAAAGACTTTGGCCAAAATAATTAAAATGCAAAAATTCAAAAAAGTTCCTCAATCTTGATTGAAGGCCAATTAAAAATTTAATATTTTTCATGCAATGTGTGTGCATATATGTTCGTGCATATAATTACATATCAAATGCTTTGCATAATTTGTTTATAGGTTATTTATAATTTCAATATACAAACTTTAATCTAGAACAATGATCTAGATTCTAGATTAAAATTGGGTCGATCAAAAAGTGTTCCAATTGACTTACCGTTCACGTGGTACAAATTAGTTATAAAATATTTTATAATTTCATATTTTAAATAATTGGTTGGAGATTATTCGAAGGAGTACCTACATACAGAGTGGCGTCACTAAACAGAGTTAACATTTCTTAAGATTTTTTCTGGTTGACGATTAATCTAATAAATTCCAACAAAATTTATACATCACTGAAGTTTAATTGTTCTTTTATTGAAGTTGGAACTAATGACGATTGAGTAAATTCAAAAGAAGTGCATATAGTGCTATTTTCTTGGTTCTATTAAACAACAAAAAACAATTTTGAAATTCAAAGAAAGTTCGAAAATGCAAAAACAATTAAATATTTGGAACATACATAGTTATTTGTGAAATAAAAGCTAAATGAATCAGATTGAACAAGTTGAGGTCTAAACTAAAAATTTTAATATGGTGTGTAATTTTGTTGGAAATGGTAAATAAACAATTAATTCTGGAAATTTTAGGCAACGCTTTCTATGTAAATTATTTTATAACACGAATGCTTGCAATTTTGAAAAATTTTAATCAATATGTCATATAAAGGTGCCAACAAATAACAAATTTTTCCACAAAATTTTAGTTGAACGAAAAATTTTGTTTATTTTGTTCAGCTAAATATCCAATTGTTCTTTTGTTCTTTTACAATTAATGTTCGGTAGCTGGAGCTCAAATCAAGATTTTGTGACACAGAGTAAATGTGATTTGAATTACTCAGATTTTGCAATAATATTTTTTTTTCAGCCAACCCAGTTCAGTTTAGTAATATTCTAGTTATTTCTTGTTTTACTTTTCCAATTTTTAAATCATTTATTTAATTTAAGACGTAATCATTTTAAAATATAAGCCATTTGAAGAAAAATCAAAGCATATACGATCAATAGGTTAAGGAAAAAGTGAGAAAAAAATATTGTGGTGGCGTTAATTATTAATTAAAGTGATTTACATGTGTTTTATATCAAAAATTGTATAAAAAGATACAAAATTTGCATACTATATTAATAAAATATAATATTAATATTCAATTAAATAATTTTTTTTACACTTTTAAACGTGATATTAAAAGCATTTATCAGCTATAATTAAAAATGTAAATATAAATTTTAATTTTTAATATTCACATTCATTTATTTATTTCTGTAATTTTGATATTTCACTTTTTAATTCAAATAAAATGAACATTCAATGGAACTTTTAATACAGACATACATAAGTATTATTACTTATATACATATAGACAATACGAGTATTATGTATTTGTATATGTAGATTGCACTTATTTGAAAAAAGAATTTGAAGACTTGATTTTCTTCCCCAACAAATCTAGTTTCAAAATGAATTCAGTTTTTCTTATTTTTTTCCTCATTTTCTGTTTTTTAGCACTTTTTAAAAAAAAATATTGAAATAAAGTTCTTTTTAGTGTCACTCTGTTCGTTCGTCCGTTCGACCGTGGACATATAACTGTTCATTGTAACAAAACTATAAGCATGTCCGCGGCATAGCATAGTTGAACTTAAAAGAAACAAAATGTTCCGTTAAAATTAACCGTTATTAAAAACCTTAAACCATTTTTTAGATACGTATTATTAAATAGTTTATTTCATTATAAAAAAATTTTCTTCCAATTCCACCTCCTCTCAAGTTATCTTGCTATAAATTTGTGAAATTTGAATTTTTGGCACTTTATATTTCCGAAACTGCAAATTTTTCGTAATTTCTATAAATGCAGTGAGCTAACGGTATATGCCATGCCAATAAAATATGTGCGTTAAGTGCCATAATGAACCCATAAATTGGAGCATCATGTTAGCGCCTCTCTCAATTTTTTATTTGTTCCATCCTAAATGTATGCAATCTTTGAATTATTTTTTTATATGAATGTAAGTAGTTTTAATAATGTAAGAGATTCTTCTTAAAAGCACTTGTTGTAGGCAAAGGCGCTACATTACAAACCATTGGTTTGATTCGATTTTATTATACCAGTACGAACGTATGTTCGAAGGGTATACTAAATTTGCCTTACCGTTTGTAACGCTGAGAAATAACGGTCTTAGATATAGACTCAAGTGTATGTTTTTGATCAGCGTCAAATTCTGAGTTGATTTAGCTTTGTCTGTCCGTCCGTCCGTCCGTCCGTCACAACTTTAGCTCAAAAACTAATTGAGCTAAGGTCACCAAATTTTCACAAATTATTAATTGTAGTATGTGCCAGAACCCTATTTAAATTGGACATGATCGGGGTACCGGTTCGGGTAGGTGCCATACAACTTCAAAATTTATTTGGCTATATCTCAGAAACTATAAAAGTTGTGGTATTGAAATTTCACACAAGGAAATATATTAGTAGGGCCAATGCGTCACATAAAAGTCGTTGAAATTGCTTGGCTCCTTCTGGTACCTGCTATACAACTTCAAAAGTTATTTGGCTATATCTCAGAAACTATAAAAGCTGTGGAATTGAAATTTCACACAAGCAACTATGTTAGTAGGGTCGATATGCTTGATAAAATTCGTTAAAATTTCTGGGCTCTTTCTGGTAGCTACCATATAACTTCAATAGTAGTTTGGCACATTTATTTTGAAAAATACATAGCACTGAAATTTTGTATAAATTAATATGGTAATACGGCAACTTAGAGACATAGTCTGTCCCATAGTCAGTTATGGCATCTTTATTTGCACATAGGATAACAAATTCGTACGGGTATCACAGAGTTGACAAGGTCAACTTTATTTTTTTTCTCGTTTTATAATAGTATTGTAAAGTATGTTGATGCCATATAAATAAATAATATCTATCACCTGTTATACCAGTTATTATTATAATTGATGCTAGTAACAGTTTTATCATATGCTCCAATATTATGCATTAAAGAATGAAAAATTTTATAATAAGCACATTTACTATTTTTATAATGTATGTAGTAATTTCCCTCTCGAATATTTTTCAAATAATATTTATACATGTATATGTATGCATGTGTTTAAATTTTGATATTGATTTAATCTGG